TTTGCTCTGTATGCTGTTTGTGTTACAGTGGAGTAATCTCATGTCTGTAAGTTTAAACTGACATAATAGTCTGTTGTTTTATTAGCGAATATTACAAATTGCGCTCCGTGGTCTGAATACATGATGTAGTGTATATTTCAAGCATTGTAAAACATAGAAAGCTGATATACTCGAGAGTAATGGCTCTCTATAACAGACCACTGCAATAGGGTCATAGTGCACATATATCATCAATTGAGCAACAAATGCAGAAGCAGTGACAATAGGATTTAATTGCATTGATTCTTACAGCCAAAGCAGTTTTGTCTGATTGAGTGCATTGTGTTACATATGCTAACAGGTCCGTGAAGTTACTCGGTAGGAAGTTTTTTTCAATTATGTACCTTGTTTTGTCTTATATAGAAATGTTTAGTATTTGGAAATAAGTAGCATCACAAGTCGCTCATAATTATAGGATGACGCGACGAAATAAAAACCTGTATTGTTCGGGTCCAAGGAGAATTGCATGTCCTACAATTATGGCAATGAAACCAAAACTGTATATGTTTTCTCTGTCACAAAAGAAGTGGTATATTTGTTTAGTTTAGTATTGATAGGTGTATAGATTTTATAACAATATGTGTCAAGACAAAGAAAATAATATTTATTTGACATATTTGTTTGTTACCGAAATAATACATATTCTGTCAGAATTTTATATATCCAATAATAACAATTTAAACACAATAGGCTGGACTGGGAAGCGTACATGTATAACAATTGTATGTGTCTGAGAGTGCTCAGTACAATTAAATCAAGTAATATGGGTGGAAGCATCCATTGAAGTCACGTTTATATTATAAGAGTGAAATGGCGAGCAAACAAATGCCTTTTTGTCCGAATCCATGAGGGAAATGCTTGTCCTGGAATTGTGGCAATGGAAACGAAAAATGTATGCTTAACCATACATTTCCTTTGTCGCAAGCAAGTATGTTTGTTTAGTATTGAGAGGTGTATAGGTTTTATAACGATTGTAAAAAGACAAACAAAATAATTGTAATATATATTCAGAAAATGTTAAAATGTACAAGTGTACAATTGTTTGTCTTATGTGTTGTATGACAACAATGAACAAGCCTTTAAGTAACTATTTTTTAAAAAGTTTTTATCCATGTACCTCATAAAATATTCAAAAACTATTCACCCGTGAAGTTATCAGACAACGGTTAAAAGGTTAGTCGTATTTCCTCATCGACCTTTTGCTGGACCATTCAGTGCATCAGATGTCGGTTGAATGAATATGAATAGAAACTATCGACAATAATACAATAGGAAACAATGGCATTTATTCATGGTATATTCCCAGTCTGATACTTATTAGAAACATGTATCGCCATTGTCTGGGCGGATGCTTTGTTGGAGGAGGTCGTTCGTGGTAAATAAGCAAACTTTAGCCGTTTGGGAGATATAGAAAAAAGCTGTACTTCTTATGCAAGATTGACTTTCATGCTAATCTCATTTATTCATGACACCGAAGTATAGCGTTATATTGGCTAATTCATTTCCTACAATTATGTTTTTGCCCATACTCAGTGAATTATGTGTATGTGTATTTTTCATCAGTAAACTTGTATCTAATAACAGTAACTTCACTCGCTCTAGATAAATAATAAGTAGTCCAATTTCTTCATCTGCGGACTAGACCAAGCTATTCTAATATGTGCCACAAACAAATCATGCATACCAGAGTACCTCAGTACTTTCGATTTTTTGTTTTATACTACAGGGCAACCCCAGTGACATGCGTGGGTTTCACCTATATGAAAACCCTGGGATATTTGGGGTATAATATATTTTGTATTGCATCCAATTATAACGTTATACCATTCCTGAGGGCTTATCACAAAAATAAAGTTCATGTCCATTGTTTTTTCCAACGAAACTAGACTGCCAGTGCTGGTGTTATAACTTTTATTAATGTCGTACAACATAATTTTGTAGCATAATTTTGCTTCTAAACTTGTATAGCAAATTTGCAGAGCTCTGTGTTTTAATTTACTGCTGATGAGTGTTTAGTGCACCAGATTATGTTTTATGGTGAACTGATTTACTAGTATCTTTTATTATTTCTTTAACTTTGAGGTTTATAACTTTCAACCATGCTATCCATTTATGTATCTTCCAAGAATCAGAACCGAAGAATTCAATCTCTATTAATCAAGGATGCATTTTCACAAACATGTATGCGAGTAATTTCTTCGAGGATATGAACGTTAACAACATTATATGTATTCATTGCAGTGTTCTTGAAGATGAAGATATGGATAACTATGTTTTTGGTATATTCCTTGTTTATGGCTGTAAAGAAGAGTGAAAGTAAGTCCTAATGTAATGCTTCAACAACGCGAAAAGTGTTTGAGGTATCTCCACGCTTAAAAATATGATTTATACATTTGACGATGGACATTTCGATGAGGTAACGGTGTCTCAACAACATATTTACCTCTGAAAGATCGGCATTTTGACTATCAAATTGGTCGATTGTTACTGCAGACGCAAGTTCAATTCGAATCTTACAATGAACAAAAGCCTCTATTGAAGCTAGATAACAATTACCTGACATTTAGACTTGCTTTCATTTGTGTACATGAACTGGAGTCATCATTAGAACATAAACAATCGTTTAAGAAATCATATAATATTTGTATGCACTGTAAATATCTCTCCTGACATTCACATTGTGTGGTTTGTGTCATTACAGCATCCCTTGTCTCGATGTATGGCAAAAAGATGCAACACAATGACGACTCCAGAGCGGTGATTACTGAGACGATCGGCATTCCGAGTCTCAATGCTTTTAGTGTCTGTATGTGGTTGAAATGTGAATTGTCTCGTCAGTGGAATACAGTGTCATATGCAGTATCCATTAGAACTAATGAAATATCTCTAATTGGGATGTCTGGTTCGAAAATTAGGCCGTTCATAAAGAATATAAATCTGGGCGATTACAACCACCAGTTCACTGATGGTGAATGGCATCATCTTTGTATGACATGGAGAGGTAGTGACGGTGAATGGCAACTTATACAAGACGCAGTTGTAATCGCATCTGACAATGGAGTTGAAACTGGTGAATATATTGCTGGCGGTGGTTCTTTTATTATTGGCCAAGAACAAGATTCTGTTGGCGGTTCCTTTGAGGCATACCAATCGTTTGTAGGGGAAATATCAAATTACAACATATGGAACTATGCCCTTTCATTGACTGCAATCAATGACGTAATAGATTGTGGTTATGTGGATGGTAATGTGTTTTCTTGGTCCATGGATATATTATCAGTATATGAAATGGAACACATTGGCAATGATGACTCATCATGTGGTAAGTATTTATATTCCAAAGTATTGACAGCATTCCATATGACACCAATTAAACCAGTCTATAAGTAATGATAACAGATGTTGCCGTTGTAGTCGATAAAAATGAATAACATGCTCTAGTAATCCAGTGTCATGTGTATACATTAGGTAAACCTAAACAATATCCATTCTGACCATGTTTATATAATAATGGCATAATTGTATACAATAACAATCGTTTTGAATATTACCAGCTAGAATATGTGAAACACCACCCCACGTGACACATGCAGAATTGTCCACGCCGTGTTCAAATGAGCAGTATTACGATAGTCAGTGTACATATATATGTGATTTGGGTTACGAGGCTGTGACGTCATTGGTTACAAGATGTGGATATAATGGGCACTGGTCTGTCAGTACAATCATTTGTGTCAGTAAGTAACGTTCAATTCAATTACATATTTGAATGTCTATAGGTTTTAAAGTACAAATTTAGAACGTCTAATTCTATCCGTGTTATTAACATTTTTACATTACATACATCAGTACATGCGAAAGCTTAGCATCATTGGTTATTTTTATTTTCAGTTACCACATGTGGATTACCGCCAAGTGGAACAAATACTGGATTCCCATCATGTACAAATCACATGAGTTACGGTAGCCAATGTACATACAAATGCAATACTGGTTACTATGCTGTGACGTCATTGATTACGACTTGTAACAGCGAGGGGAAATGGAGTATTGACATTATCCGATGTAATAGTAAGTATCAAATGATAAGTACAAATGATAACAACTATGGTAGTCAATGTACATATAAATGTGATACTGGTTACAAAGATGTGACACCGTCTACCGGAACCTGTGGAATTGATGGGTATTCGGACTTTATATTGTAATAGTAAATATACTATGTTATGAAATGGTATATATCAATCGAGGATTCAAGTCTCCACCCGTTTATCAACACCAATGCCAAATAATTGCACATATAGTCATTAGTCTTTTGTCAATGGTTATCACAGCGATATTTGCTGCAGTCAGCAAGGGGGCATATGGTCGCCGACAAAAACTATTTATTCTCACATTTCAGTTATTACATGTAATAGTGAGCCACACACAATAAATGCTGAGTTGTCATCTTGTACAAATGATATGAACTATGGTAGTCAATGTACATATAGATGCCATGTTGGTTACGAAGATGTGACGTCATTAATTACAATGTGTGAGGAC